GCCCGCTTGTACATCTACAAAGGAAGTTTTAATAACTGAGTGCAAAGATTTTTTTTTCCCTTCATCATGAAAAAAGCAAGCAACATAAACAGGACAGAGAGAGAGAGAAGTGTTGTGTGAGCATGACTGTGTGTATAGCCTGAAGTTTTCCAGCCTGTTCTTTATACCTTTGAAATCCCTAGAGTCCAGTTTGGTTATTCAGAGAACTTTAACAAGGGTCACAAGTATTAAATCTTTAGCAAAGGCTTCCTTTATTCTAAGTGTTAATCAGCCCTTGAAGTTAAACCAATGCTATCTTTTTTATATTAAAAACCCTTCTCCTCCTTTAATAGCTCAGCTCCCACTCTTGAGCCTTGTGAGGTCAGCACTGTGTTCCCAGTTTTCAGAGTGCTGTGTACTGAATGGGATCCTGATTTCTAATTTTCAACATAGGCAGACTTTTAAAAACCTTTTGGCCTGTCTTTATCTATTAAAATCCCAGGAATCAAAGGTCCAATTTGCTCTCTGTAGGGAAGTCACTTGCAAACCGTGTCGGAGCCATCACAATTCCTAAGTCTCAGACTTCCCCCAGAAGTCACGACAACCCAGTCCACAAGATAACTTGGAACCCAATATTTCAATGTGTTATCGATCCTATTTCCATTAAGCAGACCCAAGTAGAAGGGAGTATGTCCAAATGCTGAACACGTGTGCAACTTCTCTTGTGTTTTTGTCCGTTTGGTGCACTTCCATGTTTCAATCATTTAGAGCCTTTCCTTAACCAGGGGGAAAATGTCACTTGTCAAGGGTGAATTCCTGAATTCAGGTCCCATTCGAAGTTTTATGTCACAAATGATGGAATTAGGCAACGTCTTTGCAGCTGACACTTGTCAAAACCACCTGATGAATCTGTAGAGGTTCTTGGTATAAGTAGCCAGGAAAGTGCAAGGTTTTCCCATTTAATTCTCCCAAGACTGCCTCGTGAAGGATGCAACTTGTGAATGCATCAAACTGGCCCTAAATTTTGTGCATAACAGGCATCGAGTTTTGTGTTGTTTTGTGCGTTTTGAGTGAGACCGAGACGGCCGGTTTGCACCACGTGATTGCACTGCCTAATCCTGTCATTTGTGACATAAAGCTTTGAATGTCAACCTTGACAAGCTTCCAACACACGTCCTGAGCAAGCTGCACATGAGGTTATCTGGAGGTCTTGTCTCTGGTCAGGCTTTTGCCTAGGCAAAAACAGATGCTGGGGCCTTGCGACTTACCTTGTTTGTACAGGCAACCAGCAAGCGAAGCACCTCATGGATGAAAACCAGAGTCTTGTCTGTCTGGACGTTTTCTAAATTCCTACAAGGAGAGAAAGGCATAGGAGAGGATTGGGTTATTGCAATTCGTGTAGAGGACGAGCTGACATGCTGTTTGCAGTGGGAACGGTAGAGACGGGGCATGGGCTGGCTTGCAAGAGGTTGGTAGGGGAAGGGAAGGAAAAAAAAACCACCAGCTAGGCTTTGTCTGGTTTCTTCAAGTGAATCGTTCTTCTATCAAAGTCATGTGCAGTGCCTAACCTGAGCTCCAAAAAATTGATGTGGTGGCTCCACCTGCGGTCCCCTGCCCTTTTCATGGTGACGCACAGGGCGCATCTACACGTGCGCTTTACTACACAGTAGCTTATTTTACTGCGTATTAAAGCGTCACATAAAAAACCATGCAATTACACCAGGGGTGGGCAATTATTGTGGGGGGAGGGCTGCATGATAGGCAGCCGGGGGCAGATAAATATTAATTTTCTAAATTTTTTAGGGGCCCCGTGGGCCAGATAGAATGACCTGGCGGGCTGCATCTGGCCCCCAGGCCACACTTTGCCCACCCCTGGATTACACAGACACACAGTAAAATAGGCTACTTAGCACTTAAAAACACACCCTTTTGGGACCACCCATGAATGCCCCTTTATTTAGTACCTCATATTGGAGGTACTAAATTTAACACGGATTAGGAAAAGTGCCTCAGGGCGCCCGCTGGTTTCCCACTCATTTTCTATCCCACTCTCCTCAGCTGAGGGGGAGGCCATGATATTGCAGAAGGGCAGTGTTCGACCTCCCGTCTCCCCAGTCAGCCCAGTTAGAAAGGCGGCCATCCCCACGCTGTTATTTCCTTTCACGCGCCAGTGGGAACCCCTGTCCACACTCAGGGAGCCCCAGAGGCCCGGGGAACAGGAAACTCCAGACTAGCATGGGTCCAAAGTGGGAGAATGGGGGGGGGAATGGGTTTTTTGGCAAAACTGACTTTTCCCCACACATAAAAAAACCCTAACATTTATTTTCTGTGGAAAATTAGGCTATTCTTGCCCCTGACGGGCTGCTGCAAAGCCTCATGGGAACTGTAGTCCGATTGCCCCGGGTGCCTGTTTCCCTCTGAGGCTTCGCATCTTTGGCTGGCCTCTATTTCCCATGATGCCCTTTCCAAGAGGGCAGACCATGGGGGACAGGGCACAACCAAGGCAACTGACCCACAGTGACCACGAGGGAGTTATAACGTGGCGACATTTCAAAATCCCAAGGGCTTCTCCGTGAGGGGGGCGACAGTTTCCTCCCTCACACGCTCCTGCCCAGCCCTACTAAAACCACCTCCTCTTGGCAGGACCATTTTTCTCCATTTCCTCAGCCCGGTCTGGCAGTCTCCACCACAGACGCATCTCCAGCCATACCACGCTGGTGGCCACAACATGGCCGACAGCCCTGAGGTACCCTCTCAGGCCCTGAAGTTAAGGTGGCCATTGTAGAGGACAGTCCAGTTGTCCCCTATCGATATGAAAAAGGTTGCTTTTATGTCCTCTATTTCTCTCTCGATGTAAAGGTTTTGGGGTTTCATATTAATTGAGGACAGAGAAGCAAAAAACCAGAGCGTCCGCCATGATGGCCGCCCTGCCCGAAGTTGGCAGCTGGCATGGCGTTGTTGCCTCCCCCACCGGCTTTTCTATGGACCTGCCTGTCCTCTAACTCCGTGTCTTGACTAGCTTTTCTGGCCATGAATTAAAATGGAGGGAAGCGGCCCCCTCGAGCTGGCTGCGGGGCCGTGAGGGGAGCCATGCGGCCTGGCAGGCGGAGGGGAGCTGAAGCCATGGCTTCCTGAGGGGACATGCCCTCCTGCCCTCCTCACCATTACGCTTCAAAGGGATGCTTAACGGCAGGCTTAATTAGGCCAGCCCCTGCCATGCTGCCCAAATCAGGGTTTAAAGTCTGGCGCCCGGAGAGCCAGGGATCTCCCCTTGCAGATCTGTCGTGGCTGAGGGAGGAAAGCTGCTTAGGCGACGAAGGGTCAGTGAGCCTTCGTGAGACAATTAAAGGGCTTCCGAGGTCGTTAGCCATGGCATGTTGAGGCAGAGAGCAAGGCACGATGGCACCCGCGAGACCGGCTTTAAAGAGGCAGCTGTTTACAGGACAGGACTGCTCACCACTTGTGCTCAGCCTCAGTTTTCCATTCTGTGTAATGGGGAGAATATTCTCCGTCTTCCCCAGTGCCTCTTCTATCAACCCTGTGAGCTTCTGGGGGCAGTCAGGGGCTTTTATGAGATGCAACAGCCAGACCGAGCACGATGGTTTTGACAATAGGTGCAACGATAATATGGTACGAGAGCGGGGCATCGGCCCAGGTGGGAGCAAACGGATGGGGGACCAGCACAGCGCTAAAATGGGGACTGTTTCCAGAACTGCATTCATCCCCAGTTGCATTCATCCCATCTGCAACAAGATCAGTGCTGTTTCGGGAGCACCAGGATGTGCCAAGGGCAGAGGCAGGGGCAGGGGCAGGGTCCCATGACGGTTGCTGGGGCTCCTGCTCTCAATATCCTCCCGTTACTGGCATTAGGGGAGTGTGCAGAGACCTACTCTGCTGTAGAAATCCTTGGCAAGAGTATCCCCGCTCCAAAGAGCGCACCATCTTAAAAAACCCAAGCCCTATTAGCCCTCTGTTGCAGATGGGAAGCTGAGAGGCCTGGTGGCTAAGTGACTTGGCCAAGGTGAGACGTCGAGGGGGAGTCCAGCACTGCCGTGGGCTGCAGCGACGCTTTCTGACCTGGCTGCGGTTTGGTGCAGATGGCCTAACCACAGGAGCTCTTGCAGAGCAGCCATGTGGTCCAGGGACAAGTGTACAACTGGCTGGTCCTCACCCTTCCCTTTCCACTTCCCCTTTTGAAGACAAGCAGACAAAAAAGCCCTCGGGGAGACCTGCCTCGCAGCTAGAGGAGAGGGGTGGGGGTGGTCAGCCTTCCTCGCACCGCAGGGGGGAGGAGAAATGAAAATACCAACTGAGGGCTGAGGACAGCCTCCGACCCAGAAGCGCAGGTCCTTGAAATACAGCATGATCTTGCAGCAGGCTGTGTCTACTACAGCTCTGCCCTGGGTAGGGAGCACGGTCTAAGCCAGCGATTCTCAGCTTCTTTAGACTCAAAGCCCCCCTTGGAAAATGCCAGCTCTGAGCTTTCACTTGCTTCTGGCCGACAGAAAAAATAATAGAGCGATTCTTTTGGTGCCAAGAACTCAGAAAGATCGCGAAAGGCCAGGATGCTTTTCATGCTGAAATCGCTGTTGTTATCTTTTGAATCGTGCTTGCACGGTTAACAGTGCTGATGTTGCTTAAATGATCTCAAAGGATCTCGAGGCACCCTGAGGTGCTGTGGCATCACCCCTCCAGGTGCTGAGTTGCGAGTTCAGCTGCAGCCTCTGCCACACACTCCCTACATAGCCACGGTCAAGTCACTCCCTCTGGGCCCCAGCCATCCAGCTGTGAAACAGGGACAGTGGGGCTGCCTTGCCTTTGACGCATCAAGCCCACTAATGGCTGCAAGGAGCTCTGATCCTACAGCAGTGTAGGGGCAGTGATGGGCTCAGCTGGGAACATGCAAGCATCTAGTGAGCACTGGGGATGTAAGTGGAAAGGCAAAAGGGGCAGGAACCTGGCAGGCTACTAAACAGGAGCAGGCATTGCAGCAGCTTCTCCTGGACCAACCCAGGGTGTTAAGTGTCACCTGCTTAGGACTGAAGCGGTCTCATGGCCAGGCCCCACTAGAGAGATGGGATACAGTCATCTTGCATCACAGTGCTGTCAATCCAAAACAGCGTGGCCCAGTTTGGGCTTCACTGAAGCCTCTCCCAGCCAAAGCCCTGGGACGGACATGCCCCAGGAGGCTGGACTGAAGTGGAAGCACTGCTCTCAGGGAGCACAGGAGTGTGTGGCACAAAGCATGGTGTGAGCTGTCCTACACATGTCAAAACCTTACTGAGCAGAGGCTTGGACAGGCTCAAGGTAAGGTGGGAGCTGAGTACATCACGGCTGGCCAGGAAGCAGGAAAAGTACGGGCAATTTTTAGGCGAGGGAGCAAAAGGAGTGGATTTTGGCAAGGTCTCCATGTTCCTGCCTATACCAGCTGGGTCCAAAGGATAGCAACTGCTAAGGTTCAGCCCTGGGAGATTTTTCTATCCCAGGGAAGTGAAACAGGGAACTGGGAGTGCTGCAGGGCTGGCAGATTAACGCCTGGGGGTGTAGGGAGGGATCCAAGTCTCCAGATGCATTCTTCTGCTGTCCATCTAGCTTCTTTGCCTCATGCCAGCATCCCAGGTGCCCCCTCTCTGCCTTTCCAGCCGCTGGCCATGACAACACGAGTGGTGATTGCACTATGGGAATTTCAAGCTACAAGCTCTGCCAGCTGAGCTCCCCGCTGCCTCATTGCTCCCTGCACTGAGAGACAGATGCTTTATGAATGGCGATGAAAAGCTCCCGCGCTGAGATTTGTCTCAGATTCACTTCTTCCACGGCAGCCCCCGGCATGATTGCTACATAAACTGCTGCTTCCTTGGCCTCATACGGGTCAGATCGCTGCTTCCCCAAACTCCCCCTCCGAAGGGCCAGGGTCACGGGGGAGGCTGTGCTACAGGCAGATAAGCTACAGGCTTCAAACATTTCGGTGGCGTCAAAGCCTGGATATTGTTGGAAAAACCCAGTGCTCTCACCACAGAATTATAATGCAGCAAAACCACCGGGTCTTGCCTGGAAATGCTAAAGGGAAGCACCACCAAACTGCAGGCATGGACTTGACTGGGGGTGGGAGTTGTCTGCATCTTCTTTCAGGTCAGTAGGAGCCCAAAGAGCCCTCCCTGCCTTCGCCCCATCCCTGTGCCAAATACAGAAGTAGATGCCCAGGCTCCAGAATGAAGTGCTCTTTTTCACACCATCCCAGAGCTGCGGCAGGAAGGCGAGGTCTTGCCTGCCTAAATTATCTAATCTCCCAAGGACAGGGTGCATTGGAAATATTTCCAAGGGGGATTTAAGTGGGAGCTCTGGCTGGGGGCAGGGGGAAGCAGAGGGAAGTTTAGACCTTACTTATATGCTTTTCTGGATGAAGCGTCCAAACATACATTAGAGAGGACACCTTCTCACTTCAGCCTCTGCTTCAGGTCTCCTTCAGTAGGGGACGATACCAGCAAGGGGGCCTGGGAGCTAACTTACTCCAAGCAGAGCTGAGCTGTGCTTACAACCAACCCTGTGCTCCACACACTACATGCATGGAGACGGGCACACTCCTTGAGGAGACGGCTAATGCCAGACCCAAGGTTGGAGGTAGCCTAGATCAGCTGTCCTGAAGGTGGGCAGGGCAGGAGCAACTAAAGAAAGGGCGGTGGGTTTTTAAAGAGCTTAATGAGTGAAAGGGATATCAGATTAGTTTCCATGAAAAAAGCAACCAAATGTGCCAGCTGCTGGCTTAGATTTAGCCCCAGTTGGGGAAAGAAATAGGCCTCAGAGCATCACAGGGTCAGATCTCTGCCCTGGCTCCCTCCAGGCTGCCTGGGGAGCAGACACAGTGGGATGCTGGGGTAGCATGGAAAGCAAGGAGCGTGTGATATATTCACTCCCCAACCCATTCCTGGGGGGGTTTCCTCAGCTCCTTCCTTATACCAGTGCAGGAGCTTCTGCACCATCTTTGCCCCTCTGATGCCAGCTGAAACCCCCACCTCTTCATCTCCCCATCACAGCTTCCCCCACCATTCAACTCTACAATGACAGCATTTACCAGCTGCCCTTACTCATCAGCCACTACCCTGCTCCCTGCAAGTCTGACTCCACACCAGGCCTCATGCTCCATTCCCCATGCTGCATAGCTGGAGAGGAGGGCACAACAGGGTGGAAGCCTTCACCAAGCCCTGGCATTGCTAGGGTCAGGAGGAGAATAATGTATACCCCATGATGGTGGACAGCTGAGAAAGGAGGCTGGTGCTGGCAGCCAAGAAATCCGAGCTCAACTCTGCCACTGACTCCACCTATCATCTGACTCCTGCTGCTTCATATTCTGCAGAAAAGGCATAACAACCCACTATACTTGCATGCCTCCCAAGTTATGAAGGACCCCAGGCTCAGCTCTGTACTCTGACCTCTGAAGTGCTTGCAAACAAATACAGGTCCCCTGGCAACCTTCTGCTGGAAGGCAGCACATTCAATTGATGCCCACGGAGGAACCCGGCCTACCTGCAGATGATGATAAAAAACTTGACAAGTAGTAGTGCTTGGCTGAGGCCTGCCTCAGCTGCCTCTTCGCAGGAGATCTGGGCCACACAGTGCGTCAGCTGTTGGCTCAGCACGTGCAGGACGTCACGCGGGAGCAGTGGGATCTCGGAGATGGAGTCTTCTGGCCTGCGGGGCAGAGCAGATGAGATGCTAAGACCTACCACCTTGTGCACATACGTGGCAAAGGCACCCAGGAGCTCAGGGAGATGCGATGCTTTCACACTGCCCCTTCCCGCTTCTTGACCACGAACCTTGCAATACTCGGCAAGACTAAGTCCCAGATCCTGGAGTCACAGGATTGTTTTTATAGGCTCAGGAACAGGAGGGATAGGAAAGTTGCTCCCCTGTGGGCTAAATGCAAAGCCTGGGAAGAGAAGCTGGGACAAACATTTCTCAGGGCCCCGTGGGGAAAAGGAAGCAGGTTGGGGAGCGTTATAACATGGAGGCAGCCCATCTTCTGGAGTTCTCACGGCCCAGACACAAGCCCAGCTTGGATGCAAGCCTGCGCTGAGCTTCCAGTTGCAAAGCGTGCACAAAGTAGGTCACTGCCCACCTGATGTTGGGGCGTATCAGGTACCAGGTAGTGGCTCAGAGCCTGCTACCTTTGTCTGGTGGCTGAGCAGAAAACAACAGAGCCCCATGAGATGGCAGCAGCATAGAAGTCCTGCTGGCCATTCACAGATACTCTCCGCTAGTGGCTGCAGACTGGTGGCCCTGCAGCCAAAAAAGCTTGCACTAGGTAAAACCTGTTACGGGGATTATGATCCCTGCACCCCACCTACCTCCCCTTGGGGGAAGAGGGTAATTCAGCAAGACAGAAGGAAACCAGCATACAATCTGGGGGAAATCCTGGCAGTAGGGGAAATACATACACTCAGGGGTCTTGCATTGGGATGGGGAGCAGGGAACTCTGCACCCACACAGCCAATGTGGCTGGCCTGCAGCGGGCAAAGGAGGGGTCTGGTGGGTGCCACGGGCCCTGGGTGCACTGGGGGGCAAGGCTGCAGCCCCAGTGCCTCCCCCAGAGCAAGTGGACAGTGTCATCCGCACCAGTAACACAGGGTGCACCAGTTTGCATAGCCCAGCCCCCCTGCAAGAAGCCTGCCCCTTGCTGGCTTCTGCCAAAGCCAGTGAAGCCAGTGTGAGCTTTTCCTTTCCATTCGGCCCTCGGTGTCTCTGGCATCCCCACTGCAAAGAAGCAGCACGCTCCCTGACACAGCCTGTCAGCAACACAGCGACATACAAGGGGTCCGCGGTCTTGCACTGGTCTGCAGCCCAGAGATCCCATCTTCCATATACTCTAGTCATAGAGCGACCACACACTACGTGCACAGGAGTGACCAGGAACTGAGTCCCAAACAGCCCAGCCAAGGTCTAAAAAACAGCCAGAGAATCAGCAGCACCCCCCAGGACTAGCATTCAGCCAGCATGGGCTAGGAGCTGGCTTCCACAGCTGAGCTAGGGGTAGCCATGAGACCAGGTGACCCCAGAGACTGGTTAGGGGAAGTAGCTGCCCAAGTATTCAGGGCAGCAGGGCTCACATTCACCTGCCTTGCTCCCAAGCCTCACCTGGCCCCTGTTCCTTGGCTTATCTCCCGGTGTCTGACTTTAAACTGGTCATCAGGTCATTCCAGGCCCCAGCCCATGCTCTGATCCATTACAGGCTGTCCCTGCCTTTGGGTTCCCGACTGGCAGGCTGGGCCATTCACACCCCTATCTGTCACCTGGAGCTCCTTGTTTACTTGGCAAGGTTTGCAGGAGATGCAAGATCCCTCTGTGATGTGATCAATGGCATTTCCAGCCTGGAAACCACCAGTGGTGCAGGAACCATGCCAGCAATTTAACAGGTGGAGTCCATTGCAAGCTGGCCCGCCTGCTCCTTTGTGTTGCCACCTGCTCTCCTCCAAAGCTGCCACTCTAGCAAGCTGTTTGCACCTGTGACCCAGTGAGCCCTTCAGGCAAAAGGAGAGTTGTCCTTCACCCAGCAGCACCAGGCAGCCACAAAGAAGTGATCACAGCAAAGTTACAGGACTCTTGGCAGACTATCAGCTTAACCCCGGTAATAGCATCCATCTGAGAGGTGCAAATCCACTGTCCTAAGGCAGGTCCAGGTGTTTTTCTGGCTTAGGGAACATGCCCTGGAACCGTTCATCTCTTGGCTGGAAATTTTTGCTTTGGAATCTATCTACTCACTTTAAAAAAACAAGCTTCTGGCCTTCAAGCCTACAAAATAACCTCAGAACATGAACCTTATGGAAAAAGATTTCATAGATTTCATAGACATCAGGGCTGGAAGGGACCTCAGAAGATTGAGTCCAGCCCCCTGCCCCAGGGGCAGGAAGTCAGCAGGGGTCACAGGATCTCAGCAAGATAGACATCCAAATGTGTTCTGAAGGTGTTCAATGTAGGTGCTTGAACCACCTCCAGCAGCAGTCTATTCCAGACCTTGGGGGCTCGGACAATAAAGAAGTTCTTCTTTATGTCCAGCCTGAAATGGTCATGGAGGAGTTTGTGACTGTTCGATCTTGTCATCCCTTTGGGGCGCTCTGGTGAACCTGGTGAGTACCCCTGATAAACTTGTAGGTGGCCACCAGATCACCCCTGAGCCTGCGCTTTTCCAGGCTAAAGAGCCCCATGGCTCTCAGCCTGTCATCATAAGGTCTGTTTTCCTGACCTCTGATCATGCATGCGGCTCTTCTCCAGACTCTCTCAAGCTTCTTCACGTCCTTCTTGAATTGTGGAGCCCAAAACTGGATGCACTACTCCAGCTGCGGCCTCACCAAGGCTGAGTACAAGGGGGGAATGACGTCCCAGGATTTGCTTGAGAAGCATCTATGGATGCAAGCCAGTGTTTTGGTCGCTTTACTAGCCGCAGCATCACATTGAAGGCTCATGT